TGAGCACAAACCCCACGTTCGGTCCTAGGAAATGGCCTGTTCTTGGGCTGCTGCAAAGAGGGGAAGTGGTGGGAGCCTCAACAGAAGTCTGGCTGCCAGAGAACGAAAAAAAAAGATGCACTCTGGTTTAGTTTTGACATAGGCACTGAATGCCACATCTTTTAACCCAATGCTGTCTTCTGGTAAATGCACAGTGTGCGATGTCACCAGAATTACGGCACATTGAGGTCAGATCACATACCACAGTTAAAAAAGTATGTCAAATCTATTTTGTGTGATTTAACCAGATGACTTTAGATACATTTTTTTCCTCTCACTTTGAAACTTGAGCATTCGCCTTCCAGCCTGACACGCGCTTTCACCTCACAGAAATCTATCTGTGAGATTATTGACTCAACTGCTGCAAATGGGCAGTACGGCTCTTGGCAGAGGACTTAGTGTGCAAGCATGAGTGGCACACAGCCCTAAACCATGACTTCAGACTTTGCGTCATCTGGTTTCCTCATCCCAAGTTTTCTGTCTAGAAAGGCCCGACTGATACTCAGTCCTGCAATGAATGCAATAATTAAGGCAGTAGAAATGCTTGTGAAGGGATATCAGTTGTACTGAATTCTCGCTATGGCTCTGGTTCAGCAAAGCTCTTGGGCATCTGCTTGACTGTCTTTAAGTATGTGAAGTCAGCACCATGTAAATTTGGGTTTATATGCTTTTCTGCATCTAGTGCAGGATTAGGAAACAGTTCGGGTGAACGCTGTTATTCCCGAAGCTGGAGGTGGGCTGTGGTGCTGCCCTAGTCTGGCGTCCATCTACTGTCACCTCGTTCATGTTGGGAATTTCCATATCCTACAGAATGACGTGTGCGGCAGGGTGCTGCTGAGTCACACATGTAGCTTTCAGTTTTGTTCTTCCATCAGAGAGATGTTGCAATCCAACAGCTTTCAGGGCAAATCAGTGGTCATCACTGAGCAGATTGGGATGGAGGAATCAAAGCGAAGTCGATGGAAAGAAAGAGCAACCTGCAACCTGCACGTTTGCCAGCACTCGCTAGGTTGAAGCTTCAGCGCATGGTTTCTGTTGCCATGAGCTTGTGAAACAACCAGGCTTGGATTGGACTCTTG